AAGTGGTAGTAAAAAGGTTTAAGTTGACGGAAAGATCGACTCGGTTCATTTTTGCGGAGTTGGTCGAGCATCTCGTCGTGAAACGAAACGTCGACCATTAAGTTATTTAAGTATACGAGAATGAGCAACATCTTTCATAAAGATTCATCGAATTTATTGTCAACGTGAATGAGTGGACGCAACAATCGATGACATTGTGATAGGAAAGTGGGCTACCCAGCAGATTTAATCTGCAGCTCTTTCCATCGGTTGGGTTGAATTGGTTATAGACGTCTTCATAAGTGCGGTTCCCTGTCCACTTATCTTTACATTGGCTTTAAAAACTGTAATTTATAATGAGAGTTTGAGGGGATTTGATTGATCAAAGTCCTTGTCACAGTTTGCTTTCATCATTGTAATTCTCATCATCTTTCGCAACTCTTACTTCTTTCCTACGACAAAAGATGTTAAAACATTTTGACTTTAAACTAGAAAATATTCAGAATTTAAAGGTTCTGAAATCATAACAACTCAAATACCAAATGGAAAAGTGAAATCAAGTACAGTTCAACTCATATCAGTTAACGCGATTGAATCACCTCTACTTTAGAAAACCTGTATCTCTCGAATCCCGAATTTCCGTAAATGAATGTTTTGAACTTATTGATTGTGAGAATTGCAGCTCGCAAGATCATGAGCTTTTAGCTTCTCTCCAAGTATGTTTGTAAAAGTTTTATCTGCAAGCAAATGTATTGAGGCTGAGACATTCAGTCTGATTAATTGATATCATTTTCTAATGTATGTGACAAATATATGGAAGTCAGTTTTTGTAGCTTGGCTTCAAAAGGGCAAGTCTGAATGAAAATATTGTACATTTGCGTATCAAAAATTGACCCAAGCACATATCTTGAGCTTGTTACTAAACAAATATTTTCTTATTGTTACTGATCTAGTTTCCAAGTTTGCAGAGAATACTAAAACATACTAAAGAGTGATCAAGCTTTGAATGATCAAAGCTCACATCAGAATGATCAAATAGCTTCTGGTTCCGTTTTACTTGGATGCTTGGAGATGCTGCCTGGAATCGAACACAGACCTTATGTAAATGCCATCCAAGTCATTGTGGTGCCAGCTTGGATCATTACCATTCAGCTATTACATAGAATGTTTATTTTGTCCTTATTGTGTAAATAATCAGAACTTTAGTCAGTTATATGGACTGAGTCTTATGTATATACTTTTGTAATAGAATAGAAGATTGACAATTAGAATATATCAGAATCTTCTTTTGCGTAATAAAGAAGCCTTGTTCTTTCTCTTCCTTTGAACAACGAGAGCTTTTCTTTCATTGATTCTGTTTGATTTCTTTCTTATTCCTAAAATTGATGATTGATTCTCACTGTTTCTTGATGGTATTAGAGCAGGTCTGATCCTGCTCTGTTTCTTCCGCCTATTGTCATATGAAACTTGGAGATTTTCGTTCTAGGGCAAAATTGTAGCCGATTTCAGGTCTCAGAAGGTAATTCAAAATGAATATAGCAATTCTCTGGCGAGAAGTCATGAATGAGGAAACGAAAAAAGAGCTGGATGCTTTAATTGAAGAGCAACTACAAGTACATGGTTCAGAAAATCCAAGAACTGCTCTAGTCTCAGTTTTGTTGAATGAAAAGAATTATTTGATCTGGAAGAATGCTATGATTCCTACTTTAAAAGCTAAAACAAAACTAGGGTTTGTTGATGGTAGCTTTCCAAAACCACCAGAGGGAAACACTTAAGTGTATCAGATGGAATCGAGCTAATAGCGTAGCTTAGTTTCTTTAGAAACTCTACCAAAACCGGGATGTATTTATGGCCAAAATAAACAAAACTATGAGAACAGAACAAAACAAGAATGGTTCATGTGTATCGTATGAGGGTCCTTTACACAATACATTCGGACAGTTCAAGGACATCGCGTCTACTGGACAGCTAGCAAGGCAAACATACGTTACGAGAGGGAAATTCAAAGGATAACACCTACTTTCTCTATCCAGGGATCAGTTGATGAACATCAAGACCTCGCCTGAAACAATTTCCATTCAACTGGAGGATTGTTGGAAATAAAGCCAAGTTATAGGGGTGAATAATAAATTAGTTTCTCATGTGATTAAACTTGTCAATTATGATTCGAGTTTAGATGCGCCTACGAAACGCCGGATTGTAACTCGCGGACCTGATCAACTCGTGTGTTACCAACGGTTTCAGTTTTCCAATGAATTGAATGGAGAGTTATGAACATTTAAATTGGAATATTAAATATCCAATTCATTTCCCAAACCTGAAACTGTTTTACATTAATCTATATATTTATTTTTATTAATTGGTGGAATAAATAGCTGCTTTTAATCCAATTAAATTGGCAGCCATGGTTTTATTTCCTCTCCTCCCTATAGATAAAGACAAACTTCCAAAATTCTGGAAACAACTAAGAAAAGAATTATCGGACTCCCTTCATTCTTTCATTGGCCAAAATCCTCATAACCTTCCCTGGTGTTCATCAAAATCCTAGTTCTAGTTTGCCGATAATTTAGTCTACGTGTAAGACAAACCATGTTATCCGTTGTATCTGGAAAAACAGACGCTCTTCTATCATCTAGCACTCTGTAAGAGAGAGCGAATCTATTTTAACAAAAACGTATTTCTACGTGCCTCGAAATTTCATTTTCCTTAAATTTTTGTTGTCCTTACGTATACCTCCATATACACTTTTCTAACACATATCATATCAAGTCTTGATCAACATCAATGAGCTAGAACCCTAAACCCCCAAGCGCTCATGCATTCGAAGAAAAGCACACCCATGTTTCTAAGCCCAAAAAACAATTACGCAGTAGTCAGCAATGGTTAGTCATATGATTCATGAATTTACTTTCTCTCTTTTCATTTCCACAATTCTATTCTTTGGAGCCATGAAAGGAGGCCATGCAGATCTGAAGGTTGCCCAAATTCATAACTTAGCCTCACGCCGAGACCGGCATGTTAAGGAAACCGGCTACGAGTATTATAACACATACCAGAAGTTACAACTGATAACATATTCAAATCGTGTTATTGCGTTTACAATGGCTTAAATTATGCTATCTCCGTCTCAAAGAAATAGTTCACATTGAGTTTTGAATTTTGTACTGGTTTTAGTACAAATTTGAAATTCAACGTGGACTATTTTTTTTGGATGGAGCTAGTAGCACATACCAGAAGTTAGATTTTATAAATAATATAACACAAATTATTTGATAAATGAGCTTAATAATTAAACGTATAAGGGCTGGATTTTCTTCTTGTATGCATGATGAACCAACAAACACCATTCAATGACATTAGGAACTTTGAAATTAACCTACTTTACTCCCAACCAACAAACTATACAACTTATTAAAGAATAAACTAATTTTGGAGGAATATAATCAGAGTAATTAATAGATGCCGAAACGTAAAAGATTTTTTCTAGTATTAGTAGGGATTGGGAGAGGGAGAGAAGCTAGGTTTCCAATTTCAAAGATTAAACCAAAATATTAAAATATATATATATATATATACTATCGCCGTCCCAAAAAACATAGTACACATTGAGTTTTGAAATTTGTACTAGTTTTAGTACAAATTTTAAAACTTAATGTGGACTATTTTTTTAGGACGAAGGGAGTACTGATTACGAAGAAGAGTGAGACAATCCACCGGTCATCATTTCATCATTCGTGGCCAGGGGATCAATATTGAGTTTTCGGTCCACCAAACTCACTGGCGAAGTAAGAGCAAAAGTTGGGAAAGATCGTCAGAGCAACATCATAAAATCAATGGGTTCTTTAAATAAAATGTCGGTGAAGCCTACTAAAAATTCAGAAGCAGCTAATTGACACCTAGAATTTAAACTTTTTAAATAAATCTAAAAATTCAGAAAATTGACTCCTAGGATTCAATCGTGAAAGACTACCATGGTTTCCTCTCCTTGGGTTTTTTATTCGTAAATTATAGATAGATAGATCCAAGTAGATCCAAAGCTCGTGAACTACACAGAGATTCTTCAACACCCGACTCGAAAACAAAATTTGAACAAAGCAGCACTCTCGCAAAATTTGAAAGGAGAAATTAGTTAAACGGTTAAACCTGTATTATTAATTTTTTTTTTTTTGGGACACTATTGAACTGAAATTCATGTTGTTAACTCTACGAAATTTTCATTGGGGTTAAAATCAGCAGTGAAATTTTGGCGGAACTAAAATAAATTTAAATGCTAATATTACGGTGTATTTACTACTCAAATCGGGCCAAATTATTAATCTCGTCTGACCTATCATATTATCCAATTGAGAAAATGATAACCACTTGACGGATCGGATTCAAAAAAAGATTAAATTTTATCGAGAGTTTGATGAGGTTTTTGACTGGAGAGATTCTTAGAAATGAATTGTAATAGCGCAGATACCCAATTCTCAGAAAAACTGTCTTTCTTCCCCCATTTCTATTTTCTGCTGGATATGAACATATATATGTTCATGACACGAGGGAAAAAAAATGTGGAACAATAAGTACGCGACCCATATGATAAATAATGTATCGATATGGTTTAATTATAACCCAAGTCTAAACAAAACAAATACTCATTCTGTCCCAAATTTATTGTTCAGTTTCGATTTTCAATTTTTGTATAAATCAAACTAAAAGTGAAAATCGAAACTGGACAATAATTTTGCGACGGAGTAAATATAAAACTGAAAAATTTGTTAAAATGTCTCTCGAAAATGATCATACTATAATATCGGATGCTAATATACCTTGAGGAAGCTGACATTTTCAAAAAAAATCATGCAATCTTTTACATGACCCCAACCTTTTACAAGACAACACCATAAGTCTAAGCGTATGGTTCTTATGGATGTTTTGTAAATTTAAGCGTTTTGGGCTTCCTTCGTTCGTATGGAAAGAAAAAAAAAAATATTAAAAAAACCAGGATTGCATCATTGTTAATTTATCGCAGCTATTTGAACAAACAAGATAATCTCATGGCCGTGGGACTTCTAAAAAGCCAGCATTGGATTCCATTTTACTTATGTAAAACTGTTGATTATTACGGACTTTACCACTAAATAATCTGTACTGTCTTCCTCCCCTCCTCCGCTCATTCTTTTCCTCTTTCTGCCAATTCCTATCTTAATCTCACCCTCTCCCTTCTTTTCCCTTATTCCTAAATTAGCTACACTCTTAACTACAGAAAAATAGTATAACGGTTACACAATGTCGGTGTTATCAATCCATCAATTCATCCACAGAGAGAATACAGTTGATCATCTCCTAGTTGTTGTTGAAACAAAAAAGTAGCGGCGGCCCGATCAAGTTCAGAAGGTCAACAAGGATTCAATGGCAATCATGCCCAGCAAGTGGATCTGGGGGATCTCTGTGTTGGTTGGTTGCACTTGCATCGCCGGTCCTCTGCATGTTATCTTCTCTGGCGGAATTAACCAGATCAAGTACGACCGTTTCACCAACCCGGAACAAGATCTCAATCTATTTCAACCCCTTAACAACACTCTGTTCTTCTTCTATGTTGGGGTTGATTCCGCCGTTGGGATGGGCGGTTTTGTGTTTTTGATTGTGTCGGTGATGGATTTTCTCGATGATATGTTTCAAGATCCAAACTCCCCAATTCAGAGCACAAAAAAGTTTGGGGCTACTATTCGCAAAAACCCGTCACCATTCTGTTCTGTAATTGCATCCATTGTGCTGATTTTTGTTTACTTCATAGGGCTGGTTGTGATCATCCATATGGAGCAGACACGCCAAACCCGTATCAAAATCCCGGAGGAGATGCCGGAATTTCAGCAACGGGACATCATGATCTGTTGGGCTGCCGGATTTTTGCTCGCCGCGATGGTGCTGACTGTTTCTTTCTTCTGTTGGATCCCTGCTTGGATGTATTTGAAAACTAAAATCAACATTCTGAAGGGCGAAGGCGGAGCTAACCATGGAAAGTCAAACTCAGACTCAGCCCAAGGCGGTAGCCTAGCTTAGACATTAGTAGTGATTAATTTGCAGGGTTTAATTTGTGGTCTATGTATTAGTAATAAGTAAGTTTGGCAAATTTTATCCGCATGTGTCCCTAGATCTTGTTGTTCTCTTTCCTTTTTTCTTCTTGGGCATCTCTCTACGTAGTGGAACCTTAGATTTTATATTTAATCATGAAGTTTTTTAGAAAATTATTATGAGCTGATCCTTTGTATTTATGCAATTTGCGTTCGTAACTCAGTTCTATAATAATAACTAGGTCTTAGACGGGTTAGATGGCGTAGCTCAGACATGTATCCCGAATTTTCAAGGCAAAACAAGTTAACAATTAGTCGACTAGTCGATTCCTTCTCTCTCTCCGGTTATAATATTCGTCAAAATCAAATCAAATGTGGAAGCAGTGACGAAAGAAGTAAAAATAATGGAGACACGGTGGACGATTGAAAACTGAATACATGTAGGTTAAGCTGCAACGTAACTTGCGTAGGCAGAGGATGCCCAATTTTGGCTTTCCCCCCTTGGAAAGAAATTTCCCAGAAGCATTATTGAATTTGAATCGATCAATGTTGTTTTGATAATTCAGAGATTTATATGTTAAGATTTGAATTATACAGTATATCTCTGGAACTTTCAATGATAATTGTTTGCACATCAGAGGTGAGTAAAAAATTGCATATGCGAATGCTCAAAGGAGTAAACTTTCGAAAATTGTTTTTTCCCCTTAAAATAGGACTTTTATGTCGTCCCAAAAATGTTAGCACGCTTGACAGGCCTATGATTTTATTGAAAAATTTTTAAAATGCTGTTATTTTATGCTGTTTATTTTTACGGTAAGACATATATGACAAGTCATCGTCACACTAGTCAAATAATAATTACCTACTTAATACAATTACTAATAGTAAAGCAGAAAGCAGGGTCGATCCCACAGAGAAGGAATACTAATTACCAGGTATAAATTACTCCTATTATTATCTAGATAAATGATGATCTCAGAGTTATAAAATTTAAAACTAAACTAAATAAAATAAAAATAAATAATATTAATTCAAATAATTAGACAAAGGAAACCTAGGACATTGGGTTCACCTACCGAATATTTAGTTTAGTTCAATTCATAAGTATTTGACTTTTAACTTCCATTAATCTCATAACGATTCACCTAATTAAGAACTATTCACTCTCGTGTTAAAATTCTCTTACTTAGATTAACCCTATGACTACTCTCGTGACTATAGGGATTAACAAAAGCACATTAAGACCATTAAGAATCAAATGTTGCAAAGGTTATAATCTTACTCTCGTAGCTTACAACCTAAGTATATTATTCCTACGAACTAATATTAATCTTCCACTCTCGCTACTTCGATTAATATCTTCAGACATGCAAATAGTGGCCAATTACTTACACGAATTAAAACAAGAATAACAAATATTAATTAATGAAAAAATCAAATAATAATAAACCAAATAAACCAAATAAATTCGGTGGCTACACCCAAGCCCTAGATTAAAAGAATTTAGTCACTAAACATTGTTAAAATTAATTCAACAATATTTAGAGACATAAAAAATAAATAAATTAAATAAATTAAAACTTCAAAACCGAATGAAGACAAAACCACCAAAAACTCCCCTCGGTTGCTCGCTTCGCCGGTGCTGCGTCAAGTGATGATGATGCTGCGCGAGAGATGGAGAAGGTCGTGGTCGGCGGTGAAGAGCTCTGCAGCGGCCGAGGAGGTTGTTGCGTGGAGGGTGAGTGAGGAGGTCGGCGGAGGAATTGAAAAGGATGCTGCTGCGTGATGGTGATGATGGCTTCGTCGGTGAGTTCGGTGATGATGAGCTGCCGCTGTTGATACTGCCGTCGAAGGGGGAGGGAGTTTGGTGGTGATCGGCGGCGGAGAAGGGGAAGGCGGAGAAGAGGAAAAAGGTGATGATGGCGGAGAGTTGCAGCGGGGGAGCTCCGGTGGAGGAGGGCTGGTGCGTGGAGGAAGGGTGGCGGTCGGCAGTGATGGAGTTTTAACCGTAGGGTTTCGGTCAGTTTTCAGTCCAGTTCTGTTGTAAAAATAAATCCCTAATCCTCCTTTTATAGGCTTCCGCTAAACCCTACTTCTTGAAGAGCAAGAAAACTTGTTTCCCAAATAATATCGGGATTAAAATTCTTATCCAATTCCAATCTGAAATCAGCCGTATAACCATAAGCTTCTCGGCCAATTTTACAAAAACAAGAACATTCCAAATTTGCATCATTGGCCCTCCAATTCTCTAAACTCATTAATTTCTTCCCCATCAATTGCTCCAATCTTCAATTCTTTCCCATTGAGTTACTTTTAATTCGATTTTAGCTCAAAACTTCAACAATTCTTCATTTGAGTATAATTCCTACAATTAAAGACAAAATCACATAAATAGCATATTTGTACTCAAAATATATTGCAAAAATCACAAATTAGGGATATAATAAATAGGTAAAATATAAGCATATCAATATAATTAAACATGGCTATTATTGATGGACTAAAAAGATTATTTTTTTCCTTTTACCTTCATAGTGAACAGGAGATTTAATTATCTTCGTTGGAAGTCTCAATATTGTTGGGATTGCTTCGTTTTTATAGTGGATTTATTTATAAATATAGACACGTATATATGTTTATTTCAAAAAAGAAAGAATTATTCAGTTATAGTACAATTAATAATCAAAACAATTTTTTGGACACAGGGAGCATACAGAAATGGGATTTTCGGGAGCAAGCTCAACGTCAAAAAGATAGCGAGAAACATAACTGGTGGTTATCATGCTAAGAAATCTGTTTATTAGTCTGTTGATACATGTGATGAACACTCTTCATTGAGCGATTTACATATGTGATAGTAATTTTTAAGACAAAGTAAAATTATATCTGGCTATTTCAGAGAAGATTAATGATGTGAGATTGTCGTTTCATGTAGTATTTGAGGGGAAAAAAATGAAAAGGATTTTCGATACTTTGGACTCCAAATATTAAGTTTTAACCTAACTTTGCAGAAATGGAGTAAAAGTTACGAAAGATGATGAAAAGTATGATGATGGACGCGTAATATCGCAGTGAGATTTTGATTGGCTAGAAGTATGGAATGGTCGGGCATCTCGTGTCGGCTTGAAGAGTTGACACTCTAGTTAACGAAGTTACGAAATTGTGGCAGCGCGCGACTTGATCTCCCGTAACTTGTACAACCATTTTTCTGCGTTGAATTGGTTACACATGGCTTCATAAGTGGTGTTCCTCGTCCACTTTTACTTTTGATTGATCAAAGTTTTACTGTCACATTTTGAGTTTCACCAATATAGTTCTCATCATCTCTTTCTATCAGAGTTGAAGAATGAAATGACGATTCCCAAACTTAAGGAATTGGAACCTGGTGGTCCAACTTAAAAGTCTTACATAATTTGTACATAGACAGGGACTATACTTTGTAGTTTCTGTAAATAATTGGATCATTTTGTACAGCCAGTAGTTAGCTCTAATTAGTTTGTTAATTAGTTAGTTATTATTCTTGCATATATTCCCTTTGTCCCAAAATTATTGTCCAGTTTAAGATTTCACTTTTAGTACAATTTAAACTAGAAATGAAAACCCAAACCGGACAATAATTATGGGGCGGAGGGAGTATAAGCTAGGTGAATTAGCTTAAAGAACACGTTAATCCGTAATAATACATTACAGAAGGAATGTTCCAGAATCCAGATGCCTTCCGTACTTGAAACACTAGGAATATTTTGACTTTGTCTATTTTACTAATTTCCTAGCTACTTCAAAGATGTTATATCACATTACGACTTTGAAGTCGAATATTTACTCCCTCCGTCCCATAATTATTGTCCAGTTTTACTAAAAAGAAAGATTTTATTTTTAGTCAAATTTAACTATATTTTACCTTAAACAACCGGATATACCCTTACATAAGTAATTGTTTAACCACTAAGATTTTATGGATAATATTTTTTACTAAAGATAAATGTGTAACTTGATCCATAAAAAGTCAAATTGGACAATAATTTTGGGACAAAACTTTTTGGGTAAAGTGAACAATAATTATGGGACGGAGAGAGTAGAATTTAAAGGTTCTAAAATCGTGTCAAAACAAGAACGAATGATGAGGAAAATTAACGATAGTTTAACATTCACACATATCAAATCAACCGACCAATGAATTTACTGTCTCTGACTTTCGAGCAAAAGGAGAGTCACGTGAATTTGCTGATCCCACACTTTACGTGAACAAATGTTTTCAACTTAGTGATTGAGAAGCTCACAATAACATTAGCTTTCAGTAAATTTTCGAGTGAGTTTGTAACAAGCATTTTCTGCAAGCTCACAATAACATTAGCCTTCAGCCGTATTTGATTGATGTATTTGCATATATTATACATATGTATGTGCGCGCGCGCGCGCGTGTGTGTGTGTGTGACATGTATTGAATTTACTTATCGTAACTTTAATTCGAAAGGGTCAGTCTCGGAGTTTACGACATTTTGGTTATAATGATTCTAGCACAAATTTTGAGCTTGTTCCTGGAAAAAAACAAAAAAAAAAAAAGAAGCTCCTCACTGATCTTATTTCCAAGTTTCCAAAGAATAGTACGACATGTGGAAGCGATATTTTCAATATCATAGTCTAAAAGGGGTACACTGTACATCAATATCCATAAAATAACATCAACAACTAATGCTATTGCCAATGAAGGTTTTATTGGATTTTCATTGCACAATCAATTTCTCAATTCATTCCAAAGAATTTCTTTCTTTTTATTCTAGAATTCTCTACTCTATTTATTGATTATTGCTAACAGATCATGTAATCTAAGAATTTTTTTCCACCAACTGGCTAATAGACTTCTCAGCTCTTTCGGGCAGCTGTACGTACTTTTAAATTAATGGCGAAGTTTTTCTGGAATTCCTTCATCTTACTTTGGCTTCTTGTTGCAACAACATGGAAGTACTTCAAAACTTAAAAGAATTGTTATCTTCATTGGTACCTTACATTTCCTTACGTGATATTCGATTATTCAAAAAAATTCTAATTTTATAAAATTAATATGTGGACCTGATACTACCTCTGTTTCAACAAATATTTCACATTAAATTTTGAAATTTATATAAAAAAATAGTACAAATTTAAAAAATCAATGTGGGTATTTTTTTTAGATGGAAGAAGTATTATATATAATGTTTTCATTTTACTTTTTCAATTTGAATGAGTGACCATCTAATTTATGGATTTTACTTTCCAAATTGGATCCTTTTTTAAAAACTTTTTACGATGGGGGTTAGGGTGTATATCATTATCAGTTATCATCATACTATACGTGAACTTGAAAATGCATTCCCCTCCCCCTCTACGTTTTCCTGCCATGCTGTTACAAAATGGGGATATATGCATTATCCTTATTACAATATCATATCTCCCTAGAGGATCTAATGTTAATACGTCTATATAACAATATATAGTCTGCTTAATCTCCCTCCGAATAGATGTGCTTCTAATGGAGGGTCCAAACCCATGTGAACTTTTCTGATATGCAATTAAACTTCTCTCAGGTTGTAATGTGCATGGACGTGTCAGCAATGAAGGAAGACAGATTTGTGTGGGGATCCAACTCCAACCATGCATGAAAGAGAGACCATCGAGTGCTTAATTTTGTTGAGCGTTGGCTAGGTCATATGTACTAATAATTCATTTTGAATTGGATGGTCACGCGTTAAAAATTCATTTTTGGATTGGATGATCAAGTACCACAATAAATAGAGAAAATTGCACCTGTCCCATCGATATATTATCGGCAATTTATATAATGGCTACGCAACTACATCTACGGTGAACCTCGTTGTACTTTATTCATTTGTTAATTTGTTTATTTGAACGCTGAGGATTGTTTCGTTTATGACATGTTTAGTATATATTTGTTGGACCGATTTTAGCAAATCTAGTCCACACGAGTAGAACCGATCGCATCAACAAGATTGTGGCAAAGAATGTCATTAAGCCCGTGAGAAAAGAATACGTATAAGTAAGAAGCGGCGGCCAACACTTCGAATTAGAGAAAGTATCATCAACGTCGCAATCCTTGGCAGAGAAGGTTTCCTACTGCAACAGAAGTTCCTATCAAATTTGACTTTGCTTTGCATTCTAACTAGGGTTGGCACACGGACTATAAAAGTTATGAAGAAGAGACGGCAACACACACACAATTCATCAATACGAAGTCATATTTCTAGTTTTTAATAGCTTTTTCGACATTTCTTTTCTTTAAGCTTTCTTGTATTTCTTTACCATTTAGTATTGATTCTTGTAAGTTTTTCGACGTTTCTGGCTATTCAAAACCGATTCGTTTCCATCAAATCAATAAAGGTGGCCTTTATCGGTCGTTTTTTATTCATCTTTCTAGAGTTCGACGTTATTTTGCTAACAAATGCTTAGACATCCAAGCATATTTTGCATTGAAGGCATTGACATCTTTTGACGATTCTAACGACTGGACTCCGCATTTTGAGAATATCACACAGTCGTTTGAAATTAGTTTAAGCCGAGTCAGTGTTCACACAATTTTGACTCAAATATAAAATTTGGCACGCCCAGTGGGACTAATTTGCGTGTTCTAGGCGTTTTTTTAACAAAAGAATGATATCGATGCCTCAGTTCTCAACAGCAATACCATCGGTGGGACAAGTGTCAACGCGGATTCAGACTTCTACGCCAAGTGGGAGTTCTTTGCCGATGAGCACGCTTCCACATGTTTCGGTGATAGGCTCATTCTCAACGGTGATAACGGATCAGTCATTTGACGTAGGACGATAGTCTAATCAACAACAGTCTAGTGCTGGGTCAAGTCTTTTCAGCAAAAGATCTAGTTTTTCCGGTCTTACAGAAGTCCGGGTTTTCAGACTCCAGGGTTTCAAAGCCCACTATTCAGACTCCAGTATTCCATAAACAAGGCCAAATTGATTAGGCTACACCAATGACTCCAGAGATGATGCAACAAAGGTTTATAGTGCTAGAACATCATATCGCTACACACGTAGCGCGATTTGAACATGCTTTACAGATGATAAGTGATCCAAAGGCAAATTCAGGTCGAGCTAATGTTATTGGATCAGTGGTGACGGGAAACAGTACAACTACAGGAACAACATTTGTGGAAGTACTCCGGTTAATATGGTAAAGAATCCATTGTACAACGCCATATTTCAAATATCTCCAACAGATGCTCCTGTACAGCATACTAAAATAGGGTTAAACAATAACGGTTCACAAATTGTTGCAAATATGGCAGGACGTGGGTTGCACGGTTGGTACTACCCCATAATTCCAAGCCAACCCGCATTTATCTTGCCACCTGGGAATTTTATGTTTGATGGGTGCCAGTTACCTCCGTTATCTGTTCAATATAGTGGACACATGATGATGCTTGAAACGCCATTAGGGCAATATATACCTCATCAGAATTACCAAGTGTCATGGCCAATAAGTCCAGAAACATAGTATTCGGGAACTGCAGCAAGAAATGATGCTACAAGAAATGCAAAGTCTTCAAATCAGTTTCAGTTGCAAAACACGACGCTCCAACACCAAACACTGCCAGTTCAAACTCAGCAAGGACCAACAATGGTCCCACCTCAGATGATTGGGCAAGAGGGTATTCCCCGAATAACTCATGTACTGCAAGGAACGTCAGGGTGCTTTCTTCAAGGTTCTGTTAGCGCAAGAACTAATCAAGGTTTTACTGTTGAAACTCCATAACGAGCCGGTCAGAATGCACAAGGAAGCAACGACCGCCATTTTATAATGTATCAAAATCGTGTTGCGCCTCCAGTACCAGGAGGTACTACTGCAACTGCAAACCTGGCTGATCCACATGTACCTCAAGGGTCTGGTGTAGTTGTTGCCAATCGACAAATTGTTCTGCTACATCTAACACTGGAAGAAAATAGAGAGGAACAGCAGTTGATGGAGTATGAAGCAAATCAGATTCTGAATCAGAATAGGGCACAGGCTGTTGGTCGTCCTTATAGAAATCAAAACGGTGGTAATGTCAATCGACATCATCCCCAGCAACAACGGTTTTTTGGTCAAAGGGGTGGTTGTCACCGAGTGGATATTTGCAATGAATTTTGACAAGAACCAGACGCAACAGTAAATGCCAATCAGCAACAAGATTTTGAAGTAGGAGTTGAACAAACTTTAAACGCTGAAGAAACATTTTCAAGGATGGTAGAAGATATGGTACGAAAAGAGTTGGGGACAGAGATTCCAGAAGTTCCGGGAAAGCAATATCCTTATTTTGTTGAGGGAGCCATTACCAAGAAATTTTAAGATCCCTGATTTTCAATAGTTTTCAGGAGAAGATGAGAAGAGACCCGAAGATCACGAAAGTTTGTTTGAGTTGCAATGTGGTTCAGTTAGCAACAATGCCTTAATCAAGTTGCGTTTGTTTCCGTATTCCTTGAAGGGAACTGCCTTTGATTGGTATAGATCATTAGCACCAGGTTCCATTCCATCATGGGACGTTCAACATAGGGAATTCTTATCATACTTCGTAGGGATACCGCACAATTGTCAATTGTGGATTTGTTGGAGATCTGCCAAAAGTTTGGAGAAACTGTTGAAGCATACTTAATTTGGTTCCGCCAGATGTATGCTAAGATACCTGACAAGTATGAAGAACCAACTATTGTCAAAATGACTGTCGCAGGAATTCAAGATTACAAGGTAAAATTAGCTGTTGAACCACATTCCATCCGATCTTTAAATCATTTGGTGGATATTGTAAGGCGGTGCAAAAAGGTAATCAAGAATAAGCGAGAGAAAAATCCAGGGAAAGCGAAGTAGTGGTTTAACAAGAATCCAGTAGCATAAGTGAATCAGAATCATTGGGTGTTTGATGAAGACGACGACGACGAGTATGATGTTAATGCTGCTGAAATTGTCAATGTCCGTAATTATACTTGTGAGGCGTTATGTTGACCTGTCGCGCCATATTCTTATAATACTCCTCCATAGGTAGGAGCACCAGCTGGAACACCAGGACAAGTTGAAGAAGCTAATGTTGGACGGGTTTATTATTTCGATATTTCTCAGTAAGATGCTATCTTTGATAATATGTTTAAGAAAGGCCACATTCAATATAATAAAGGGTATCGATAACCAAAGCAGGTACCACATGTCATAGACTCACAACATTAATGATTGCATAGTATTCCGCAACAAACTTCAGAAGATGATAGATGATGGTAATATGATAATGGAAGATCCAATGGAAATGAATGCCAATCCTTTTCCGCAACAGCATCAAGTCCGAATGGTTGATTTGGGATTCGGAGGTTCTCCCCTCTGATACATGTCGAATAACAGGTTGTGATGATTGTGACAAAGTTTTTGGTCGAGTAAAATGTCAGCTTCAGGAACTAGGATCCAAAATTGGAGGACATTTACATCGACAAGTATCACGCCAACCTGCAATAGAAGTAGACATTGTGATAAATGGGCAAACGCAGACTTGGGTACAGAAAGAAACACATTTAGATCTAGAACAAGAGAAGTTGCGAGTAGTCTCAGATGCTATACTGAGTGCTTTGAATCAACAACAACAGCCAAATGTGCAACATTTAGAAACACGAGACATAACTCCTCTGCCAAAAAAATGTTTGCCTTTGCAAACAAGATTCGGGAAGCCAATGAATGCTGAAAGGATCAATGACCAGTGTAATGATCAGACTCGCCGACCGTCGGCGTGGCAACGGATCGGAAGACCTGCAACACAGAGTAACATTCTGTCAAGGGTTGTTAAAGCAGTGTCCGTGAATGATGGTGAGTGGCATCGTGCAACACATTCAAAATTTCCCAGCCAAACATCGACATGAGCCAAAATGACTAGAACTCAAAAGTGTCGGTGGCAACGGGTAATGAATAAAAAAGCCAGAGCGGATTCAGAAGTAGAGAAGTTGTTTACACAGTTGGAGTCACCCGTTAAGTAGGATTTCCATCGATCAAGTTCTTGAGACAAGAACAGAGGCGATCACAATTCTGGGAAAGGCCAGATACATATTTCCCACCAGTAAACATGGAATATACACTGCCAAAGTCATTTTGTCTGCAAACTGCTTTATCTTCGACACCCCTGGCCCCAAAACCTATTGAAAACCCAGTTATGGTTCCTGAGACAACTTCGTTTGTCATGGAGCCATATGATACTACAATGGGTGGAATTCAGTTATTGTTGCAAGAAGGTAAAAGTCTAGTTATCATGCTTTCACAACCGGCAGAAGATGCTACGTCACATATTAGACCATTGTACATCTGTGCAGTTATAGACGGCATCACGTTTAAAAGAGTATTAGTAGACAATGGAGCAGCTATAAATATCTTGCCATCAAGGGCTTTACGTAAGCTGGGCAAGCACCTACACGATCTCGTATCAACTGAAGTTTTTGTGAGTGATTTCTTCACAGGAGATGTTACAAGTACCAAGGTAATTTTACCGTTGCAAGTGGACGTAGGATCGCAATCAGATGTATCAGCATTCTTTGTTGTTGATACCAAAGCATCTTACAATGCCTTCCTTGGACGAGATTGGATTTATTCAGCAAGATGCATCCCTTCTTCTTTACATCAAGCAATTATTTTGTGAGGAGTTGAGGGTCCAGAAATTATTGTAGCCAATACAACTTCTTTTGCGGCACAAGCAAATGCTGTGGAAGCATATTACTATGACAGAGAAGTAGGTCCATATCGACTAATCAGAATGGACAAGTATGGTTGGCGAAAACAGGCCACTATGCGTAGAGATATGAATCTTCCTGAATGGAAGTTACTTTGGCAAGAAGTCAACAGGCCGTAAAATTATAACATGTTAAGGCTGTTGCCAACCGCATCAGCTATTGAAGAAGTTTCCAATCAAGACAATTGAACAGCTAGAGATATTGAGTGCAGAAGATTTAGATGCTGAACTGTTAAAGGCAAAACAAAAACAGGAAGCAAATGGGCAAGTACTACAATATTTTGAAAATGAACATCAACGGGAAACTGAAATGCCGTCAGTATGTTGGGATGATGAGATTTACGACACTGATCCAATCTCCGACAGTGATGTTATAGAATTGAATGAGTTAGCCACTGCAACGTCAAAACTCAGTGATGACGTGGTTGTTACTAAAGAGCCAGTCAAAGCAGTAACTTTAGGTTCATCAGGCGAGGAAAAAATAACTTATATTAGTTCATCTTTGACAGCCAATGAAAAGTAGCAATTGATTAGATTTGTTGCAGCAATATCGAGATTTTTTTGCATGGAACTACACGGAGATGCTAGGTTTAGAACGCAATTTAGTGGAGCATAGCTTTCTTTTGCGGAAAGGTTATAAGCCATTCAAGCCATCGCTACGGCATTTTTCTGAGGATATTGTTGTCAAAGTCAAGGAAGAAATTGAACGCCTGCTGGCAGTTGACTACATTGAAGTGGCAGTGTATGTTGAATGATTATCCAACGTGGTCCCTGTCATCAAGAAAAATTGCAAAACAAGGGTTTGCACAGATTTCCGTAATCTCAATTTGGTGTTTCCAAAAGATGAATATCAGATGCCGATTGTGAAAATGTTAATTGATAGATGGATGGGTTTTCAGGTCATGAGCTTTGTAAATGACAACGGTGGATACAATCAAATTTTCATAGCTCCTGCAGATGTTCACAAAAGTGCTTTCGAGCGCTAGGAGCATTAGGTATTTTCCAGTGGAAGGTAATGCCATTTGGGTTAAAGAATACAGGAGCAACCTATCAACGGGCCATGAACTGTATTTTTCATGATCTTATCGGGAAAGTTTTGGAGATTTACATAGATGATGTGGTAATGAAGTCACATTCCTTTTCGGAGCATCTGCAACATTAACATCAATGCTTTGAGCGTATACAAAAATACTAGTTAAAGTTAAACCCATTAAAGTGCGCGTTTACCATAACCTCTGGCGTGTTTTTGGGTTTCTTGGTCGATTCCAGGGGCATTGAAGTAGATGTAGAAAAGGTTGAGGTAATTATAGAAGCTAGGCCTCCACGGACAAAGAAAGAATTAAAAAAATCCTAATCGGCAAAGTCAATTTCCTCCGCCGATTCATTTCCAACTTATCCAAGAAGTTGAAGCCATTTTCTCCACTTTTGAAGGTTCAAGCATCCGAAAATATTGTGTGGAAAGAAGAGCAACATCAAGCATTCCAGGATATAAAACTGGCTTTATCCTCTTCTCCAATTATGGTTGCACCTATCAAGAACAAAGCATTAAAGCTCTACTTATCGGCGACTGAAGAATCGTTGGGTTGCTTATTAGCACAAGATGGCCATGACGGATTGGAAAGAGCCGTTTAATATTTAAGCCCCATGCTTACCGACACAGAACGCAGATATCCTTTGATTGAAAAATTGTGTTTGGCGTTGTATTTCGCCGTGACTAAGTTACGCCATTACATGCTTCTTGGGTTAGTCTGTGTAATCAGCAAAGTCAACTTGGTAAGATACATGTTGCACCGCCCAACAATGAGTGGCCGAATAGGAAAATGGGTCCTGTCCCTAATAGAGTATCAATTTCAACATGTACCGCAATCGGCTGTGAAGGGGCAAGCACTAGCAGACTTCTTAGCTGCACATCCCTCACTTGACGATGATTGGAGTGATGACTTCCTTGAGTCATTTCAGGTACACAATGTGCAAGAGCCTCTTTGGACAGTGCATTTTGATGGATCCAGAACTTTCAAATGTAGCGGCACAGGAAGAGGAGTAGTTACTTCTCCACATAGACAAAAGCTACGTTGTCAGATTCGTTTACATTTCCCGGCAACTCATAATCAGGCTGAGTATGAAGGTTTAATTCACGCCTTGCAAACATTCCTACACAACGGTGCTAATAATGCAAAGGTAATTGAAGATTCTGCCTTAGTCATTGGGTAGATGAAGGAGTTGATGGGCTGCAATGACGACATCATGTCACAATATGCAGCCGTAGGTGATCTTCTTGCATCTCAGTTTCAGCATATCGAATTTTACAATGTTGAAAGAGACTTCAATACTGATGCCAATGACATGGCACAGTTAGCTTTAGAGTACCTTAAAGCGCCACTTGATCCAGACATTGCTTATGACACCGTGGATTTCGACGCTCTGGCATATGTTCGATGCCATCCAATAGAGGTCCTTTCTGTTGACACTGATGATACCACAAGAGATTGGTGTACACCGATAATAAAGTTTTTGCAGGGCCCAACTCATCATATTCCATTATTTGTACGGCGGCAAGCCCCTAATTATCTTCTATTGCAAGGGCAGTTATATCGGAAAATGGCGGATGAAGTTTTGCGTCGATGCTTAGGTAAGCCATAATATACAGTGTTGATGATAGAAACACATTAAGGGTTCTTTGGAGCACATCAAGGCGAACGCAAAATGGCTTGGTTGCTTCACCGCCACGGTTATTTTTGGCCGACTATGACTAAAGGCTGCATCAATTTTGCTAGAGGATGCGTTGACTACCAGAATCACGCAGATATTTCACATACACATCCAGAGCCCATGCAATTCATAGTCAAACCATGGCCATTCCGTTGTTGGGTTTTAGATGTTATTGGCATGATACATCCACCGTCATCTTTTGGGCACCGTTATGTTTTGGTCGCAGTAGATTATTTCACCGAGTAGAAGCGGTACTTCTGAAAGATGTTGAACAAAAGGCCATCATATTTTTCCTCCAAGAGCATATCATCTACAGGTTTGGATTACCTGAAACAGTAATCACGGATCAGGCGCAATGCTTTGTCGGCTAGGATATGGTGTAGTTCGCCAAAGACATGGGTTTTACATTAACACATTCTTCATCATATTTTGCGCAAGGCAACGGTCAGGCTGAATCAACAAATAAAATATCAAAAGGCATCATCCAGGAAACTACCCCTTTAATGGGAAATTCCGGGAGTACAAAGTCAATTGTATATTCAGCTACGTACTAGTTCAGAGTGATGCGACATGTACTAAATGTAAAAACAGTCAATGATATTACATGCCTTTGGACTTCGAATACTACTTCCGTCCCACTTTAATAATCCACTTTGTAAAATTTTTTAATTGATTCAAGAAACTGAACTATTACTTTATTTAAATTTTAGCATGTGTTGATCAATCATATCTCCTCTATTAAAAGAAAACAAAATGAACAAGAAACACCTGTTTTGAAGAATTCCTGCTCCAATGCGGATAAAAAAGTGGTAGTAAATAAAAAGGTTTAAACTTTAAAGTTGACATTTTGGGGGAGTTGGTCGAGCATCTCGTCGGGGAAGGAAACATCGACCATTAAGTCAACCAGAATGAGCAACATCTTTTTTTTAAGATTCGTCGAATTTATTGTGAAGTGAAGGAGCGGACGCTACAATCGACGACATTGTGATGGGAAAGTGCGCGACCAGCAAATTTAATATGCAGCTCTTACCATCATTTGCGTTGAATTGGTTATGGACGTCTTCATAAGTACTGTTGTTCCTTGTCCACTTTACCTTAACATTTGCTTTAAAAACTGTAATTTATAATGAGAGTTTCAGGGGGATTTGATTGATCAAAGTCCTTCTATCACAGTTCGCATTCATCATTCTAATTCTTAATTATCATCTTTCGCCACTTTTACTTCTTTCTACAACAAAAGATGTTAAAACACATTTTGACTTTAAACTGTAAAATATTCAGAATTTAAAGGTTCTGAAATCATATCAAAACAACACCAAATGGAAATGGGAAATCAACTATAGTTCAACTCACACCAGTTAACTCGATTGAATAACCTCTACTTTAGAACACTTGTAACTCTCGAATCCCAAATTTCCATAAATGAATGTTTTGAAGTCATTGATTGTGAGAATTCCAGCTCGCAAGATCGTGAGATTTTTGCTGCGCTTCAATTAAGGTTTTAAAAGTTTTACCTGCAAGCACGTGTATTGAGGCTGAAACATTCAGGCACATCATTTTCTAACGTATATGACAAACATATGGAAAGTCAGTTTTGTGGCTTGGGTTTGAAAGGGCAAGTGTGAAAGTAGGGTTGCGTATCAAAAATTGATTTAAGCACATATCTTGAGCTTGTTACTTGAACAATATTTTCTTACTGATCTAGTTTCCAAGTTTGCAGAGAATACTAAAACATACAGAATGAATTATTTCTCAGTTCAATTTCACTGTCAAAAAGGGTACATTAATCCATAATCCATTAAGCAAGAACAACAAAAGAACTGTCTCTGAAAATCTAATCTGTTACTACTTCCGTCCCACAAAAATAGTCCACATTGAGTTTTCAAATTTGTGCTAAAAACAGTTCAAAACTCAAAACTTAATGTGGACGATTTTTGTGGGATGGAGAGAGTATTTTACAAGAACAAAGACTAACAAGGCTTCCTACACAAACACATGACGTAGAACAACTTGCCTCACCACTTATATATCGATATCTCTGCATGATTTTTTGGTCAAGATCATAAAGCACAATCTTTTGCCATCCAATCTGCAACAGCAGTTCTCTCCTTTTCTTCAAATTTAAAACCGGCTTAAAAGTTCAGTACTGAATCAGGAAGAAATTCGATGGAGGTTGTTAACTCTGTCAAAGAACTCTCAACTTGAAGTCCATAATTGTAATCCTTCGTCATCCATATACCACCAAGTCGTTTTCCTAGTGAAGAGTCATAATAACACCGTAAGGCAAGGCTGTCATTCAAACTGAACAAACTTTGCTCAGATACAGGGCATTTTCCGAAACTCCTCACATGCAATATCAAACGAAACCATGAAGTTCTCGATTCGCGTGTCGTGATCTTTAACAAGCCAATGTAGTGCACCGTTGAGAAACGCGCTTTCATCAGGAATGAAGTAGTAGTGTTATGGCATCTCAATGAAAGGAACCACCAATTATTTTCTTCCGTGAGTTTAGCTTCAAGCTATAAACGCATAGTTCACAGCGACAATAACTTGGTAGAAAATTTGTATCAACAATTCCACATTGCGATCCGCGTGTACATACCATTTCACCACATTATAGTCATCATTCGTTTTATCATACCCAAATGCAGCACTTATGGAAGACCTACAAGTCCTTGTATATTCTTACGGAGGCGAAGGCAATGAAGAGCAGTTTTGAATCCATGGATTCCACAGAGCAAGATCGTCACTCCATTTATTCCATAAACAAAGGATACCATTACATGAGACAATGATTTGTAGCCACCGATCTAAGAAATCGAGATTGGGGATCTTGAGTTATCTGGCATTATCGCCCTGCAGGAGCTGAGGTCAAGTTTACCAATGGAATTAAAAGTGTAGAACAGAGAGTTCCGCTGAGGACAACAACCTTGTTGTCGGGTTGTCTGATGAGTTGGGATCTTTTCAAATGCTTTCTGGCAAAGAAAGGGTTGTCAATCAAGTCGCGCCATGATTTCTACACGCACCTACATCGGATCAGGGAATCAAATGGTAGCCAGAGAAGAATTCTGGCAATCAGATGGTCAGGAATGTAGTCTGACAATTGTGACTAATTAAACTGGCCAACTACGATTTAATGTATACTGAAATTGGTTGTAGCATATTAAGATCATATCCAGGAGATTCGATTGTAGAACTTGACCTTGGAGTTGAAGGAAAGAGAAAAGAGGAAGAAGAATCAGAGGATTGAAAATAGATTCCAACGTCTACAAGCTAATTGAAGAGCATAAACTGCAAAAATAGAACTATTAGTATAATATAGACCTAACAAGCTGATGTGGAATTGCCAACAAGGATGGACATGTTAGTAGGGCTAAGAGTTGAGATAAATTTGTTAAGTGTAATATCATTATTTTTTTTAATTACCGTATCTTACTATATATTAAACAAATTTTTTTCAAACGACACGTGTCGGTCAATTAGACCATCAATAATTTTTTAAGTACATGTGTCATCTTCTTATTCGTGGAATTTTTTGTAGTTTAAATGTCATCTTCTTATTCGTTATTTTTTAACTACACTTTATATGTGTATTTTATAAAAGTAAAATGGTAATATTTCTTTTAACTAAGTGCATTCAACAGGAAAATTGAAAGAAAAAAGTTAAAGAGACAATGCAACTACTATCATTTTGTATTATAATAATTGTATTTATGGTAGTAATCTTTTGTATAGGTTTATTGTTGTCTATATATACCTTTGTATATTGTACATTACAACACATGGAAATATAATCCTTATTATTTTAAGCTGGTACAGAGTTAGGTTTTTTTTTTTCAGGACTGTTGTTTTCTTGTTTCTCTCGACCTCCGTCGTTTCCTTCTCCTCCGCCGCAGACCGCGCCTATACTTCTTTTATTGCCGGTGTGCCTTCTTCTTCTTCTCAGATTTTTTTCTTCCCCTTACCCCCAAAATTCCTTGTTGCGGTTCCGAACGGGTTATACCTGTATTGGGCTTAAGACCTCGGATATTCTTCTTTTGTTTCCTTGTTTCTGCCGACCGCAAAATTTCTTGTCCTTGTTGCGGTTCTTCCCCTGACAATTTATCCAGTATACCCGGGGGCACCATACTCCCCCTTTTATTTTTTTACACTACTAGTCCTTACTACACTTTTTTCCACTTAATTTTCTAAATAACATCCTATAATTTACAGATTTAGTCCCTTTAATTTTTTTTCTCTCTCCTTTAAAAAACATCTCTAATCTTTAAATGACCATATCTCATGATCCGTAAAAAATTAAAAAACGTGTTACACATGTATTTTATTGTACTCGTCGAGATCTATCCAACAAGATCCATGTCGAATATTTTTTTCGAGTTTAAAAATGACTAAATTTTGATGGGCAGAATAAGATGGATATCTAGTTTAGAAAGATGGATAACCAGTTTAGTTTAGATTAAGATTCTTGTATTGAATATATCTCTTGATCCGTAAAGAATTAGAATACGAATTATACATGAAATTTATAGTGCTCGACGAAATCTATCTGATAAGATCCATGTTGAATATTTTTTTTTAACTTTAAATGCATTTAAATTTTACGGGCAGAAATGAAGAAATGTGTTTTTCGTTTTTCTTTGAAAAATGGTTATCCGTTGTGTTCCTACGGATTATGCAACCGGTTTGGACTGATTATCCATTCTATTTGTACTTGTTATCCAATCATATTTTTGACATTCACTCTTCAAAAAAAAAAAGAAAGAAAGAAAAAATGATTGGATAAGCATTGCAAACAATTTGGATAATCAATAGAAAATAATTGGATAATTAGTGCAACACGTTGGATAATCAATACAAAAAAGTTTGACAATCATTTTCATAAAAGAGCAAGGAAAAAAATACTGGATAACCACCACAAAGAAGTTGGATATTCAATATGAACACATTGGATATCCAGTTTAAAAAGATGGATAACCAACTTATTTTGAATTAAGAAATTGGATAATCAATATGAAGTGCATGGATATCCAGTACAAGCGAGTTGGATATCCAGCACAAACAAGTTGGATGTGCATACAAACTCGTTGGATTACAACTACAAAACAAGTTGGAGAAGCATATAAACTAAATGGATGGATATTCAGTACAAGCGAGTTGGATATCCATTTTAAACAAGTGGGATATCCATTAACAACAAGTTGGATAGACATACAAACCAAACGGATAAGCAATACAAACAAAATGGATATCAAACTGATTGGATAATCAGCATTAACACAATGGATAACTAATTTAGAACAAGTTGGTTATCCATCTTATAAAACTGGATATCCACTTTTATTCTGCCTGTCAGAATTAAGTTATTTTTAAGCCCGGAAAAATATTCACTATGAATCTTGTTGGATAGATCTCGACGAGTACTATAAATTTTATATATAATTCATTCACAAATTCTTCACGGATTGGGACATATGCTCATTGAAAGATTAGAGATATTTTTTTTGGAAGAGAGAGAAAAAATGACAGGGACTAAACTTGGAAAATATAGAAAAATTGATAAAAAAAAGTACAATAAGGACTAGAAATGCAAAAAATAGGAGGGGGTACACGGAGCCCCGGGTATAATGGATACAGACTTCTTCCCCTCTCCCCGAACACACACACAAAAAAAAAACACCACACAAAAAGCACCAAACTTTCACGGTGGAATCAATAGAGTTCTGTAATAATTGTCTTTTCGAGCATTATTTCATAAATCTCATTCGCAACATTGAACATCGTATTTAGCCTTGTAATCACTCCATAATACATCAACGGTCTTTCCCAAAACCTCCACAAAGTAACCATCACTATAATCACATCTCATCTTCGCGTTCAATTCCGCAACAAACCTCCCATTTCTCAACTCATTGCAATAATCAAGAAACAAGGCAGTTACATCATATCTTTCATCCCACTTATTTCCTTGACCCGGTTTGACACAATAAACCGGCGCGAACCCGGCTTTCAGCCTCATTTTACATGTCTTGAGGCACATGTATGAAAACGCAGGTGAATATAGTAATAAACATGTAGATAGGAATTTTACTGAAGAATTGAGTCTTGGGAATTTAATGGGATTATTAATTGTAATTGGATTTTATTCATTCAGGGACCAATTAATGTCAATTCAATCCAACTTAGCTAAAATCATAATTAGACATAACTGCTTGGCCGGTCGTCCAGGAAAAAAGTACCACGTGCTATTTTTTTAAAGTACCGCTTGCAATCTATATAAAAACAAGTGTAGCTGATTCTGCCAAAATAATTTCTAGCATCCAAAACAAAATTAATATGAAATGACACAATTAGCCATCATAAAAATGTGTGTATCAGTTTATCCATCTAATCTCGGTTTCTCCTCTCACCAACATTTCCTCAAAAATCACCTCTCTGATCACGGCCGTTGTCCACCCCAGCCAACATAATTGAATTCCATTCTTCATTGATTGGTAGATGATTTTTTATTCTCTCATATCTATTGGTACTGATTGCCGGAAGCTCCAATTCACGGAAATGGATTCAGTTTTTGAAATCGAGTAGAGATTGAGATCCAAATTAAATTTCGCTATCCCACCAGTGAAATCCGCCCAATTTAATCTGAAATGCTGCTAGAGAAAATCAGAAAAGGAAAAAGAGAACGAGTTAATTTTGGGAAACCATAAGACATCTCCGATTTTGTAAAATAGAAGATATACAAAGAAGGAAAAGTTTCACAGATGTTTGTTAAAACCATGCATGCACCTTTGTATTAATTGCTTGTCTGCAACAAATGGGAAGGTTTGAATTTGATGTAGCAATATGTTCTGATCATCAATTAATTCATTGATTCAAAGATCATATACAGAATACACACAATTCAACTTTCTAAAGGCAAAAAAATTTTAATTTCAACCGGATTAAAACATTCTAAGAGGTGAAACAAGGGAGTTATAATCTTTTCTTTGGGTTAGAGGAACAGCAAAATCATGGGCCTTTCTCTATGAGGTTGGCATAAAAGTCAGAACATGAAAGAGGATTTATTAATTTTTTTTCTGTTAGCGGTGGCTGGGTTGTGACTTTTGAGTTGGAGATGAAGCGAGAGGTGAGATTATGGAAAGTAATGTTATTTTTAAAATAGGTAAATATGTACTTTCATTTTAAAATTGATCTGGATGCTAAAAGTTATTTTGGCAAGATCATCATCCAGAAACAAGTGAGTTAGTTCATAATTTCGGGAATTTGTTATTGCCTCCAAGTGTTAGAAATGCTTCAGAGTCAAATAAAGTACTTCTCTTTTTGTACTAAAACATATTACATTATCCACATGTCAAAAACTGCCTTAAAGAAAACAAACAAACAAACAAACAAATTATATTATCCCTTGTTTGACTAAGTTTTTTTTGGTAAATTGTGAATTGTATTCCATTTGAACACTTCAACTGTACAAGGTTTGATCAAGCCATTACAATACCAATCCTTTCCAAAATCGGACATCATCCCCACTACCATTTCTATATAAATGTATAATCCTACATTTCACTTCCTGCTGAATCCTTCTGACTCTTGTTTCTGTCTCCTCATTTCTTAGTTGAAACAGCCTGAAATTTCTCTCATTCCATGTATGATATACCACAACATTCAAACAAGCAAACAGAACTTTCTTCTTAACAGGCTTGTACTTCCAGATCTTCATCAGTCTTGCAACAGATAGCTGCTTGATTTATGTTCTGAGTCCAAGCCACTGAGTTATGCCATTCACCAGCTTATGTGCATAGAAACATTTAAAGAACAAGTTACTTCATGTTTCCTTCTCTTCTTGACACAAGATACAAGTCTGATCAGTGACATTTATCTTCATATGCCGTAATCTATCTTTGGTTAACAATCTGCCTCTCCAAGCTAACCAAGAAATAAAATTGTGTTTAGGAATAGAGAACTTACTCCAACATATTGCTGCTGGCTTGAACTGTTCCCTTCTTCCTCTGATCCACATATAACCACTTCTTGTATCATATGGTTTGCAGGATTTCCTATCCAGCTTCCATTTACTACTGCAGTTTTCAGCTCATCTTTAAGTTTCATCAGTTTTCTCTAATGCCAGCTACAGTCTTGTGGAGGATCATAACTCCAAATACTTCTGACTTTTAAATAATAGATGTGCATCCATCTAATCCAGAGGCTATCTTTCTTCAGTTCCAAGTCCCATAGTTGTTTGCCCAGTAATGCTTT